TTCCGAGACAGGGTTTCTCTGTGTAGCTTTGGAGCCTATCCTGGCACTCGCTCTGGAGACCAGGCTGGCCTCGAACTCACAGAGATCCACCTGCCTCTGCCTCCTGAGTACTTGGATTAAAGGCGTGCGCCAACACCCGGCTGCCGTAGCCTTTCTTACAAAGAGGTGTTGGTTGCTCCATCTTTGCCACTGAGGACTGAAGACTCGGGAAAGGGATAGAAGTAGAATAGTCCAGTGTTCTCTGCTGCTGAGCAGTGTAGCCCGGGTTTGCAGGCCCTGTCCTGTCCTGAGCAGTCTAGCCTGGATTCTGGGCCCTGTCCTGAGCAGTTTAGCCTGGATTTCCAGGTCCTGTCCTGAGAGTATAGCTGGAATTCCAGGCTCTGTTTTGGCAATTTTGCACTCTCCTGCCTCAGGGAACTAGGCTGGCCCTGAAGAAGACAGTCACAGGAGCCGAGGCCACTCAGCCCTAACCCCAGATTTCCCTCCGTGTAAGAGGCTCAGAGTGGATCTGTTGTCCAGTTTCCAGCCTGAGGCCTGGAGGAAGGTGGGCTTCTTCAGTTATTTCCTGAGGTTGGAAGGATTACTAATATAGGAAATTTCCAAGATGGCTCCTACAGACATCTAGGCTGCTAAGATATAATGTTTCAGAATCTCCGGTCTGTTGTCTAGAAGCTTAACAAAATTCTGTGCACTCAGTAGAAATGATAAGCAGTCCCCAGACCCGGTGAGGACCCTGGCCTGGCCACTATCTCCCTGGGGGCCCATGGAGGCATGCCTGTGTGTGGTGTGCCAGGGCTCATGGCATTGTGGCTGATCTGAGTTGATGCCAGCTCCAGCCACAGTGTATGGCTGGAGGTTTGGGGGTTTCTGCCAATCTAGATGGTCCTCATGTGTTACTGTGACTGAACCATGAGGTTCCAAACATGCTGTAAATATCACCCTCACATGTTCACAAGGTTGTCTTGGAAACAAAGGCATGGGCACCAGGGTCTTTTGTGGACTGAAGCAACACAATGTGTGGGGAAGTAGACGCCAGCTCACTCGGTGTGGTCCTTAGCTCCTCTTCCCCGGATGACTGTTAAAACTGGGTCACATTCCCAGAAACACAATCGGATATTGCAGCGTGGTTCACTCTATTCCAGAAGGAAATTGCTAGCGGCTGGCACTGCAAGTGAGAGGAAGTAAAGGAATCACTGGGCAAAGCCATTTGGAGCTCGGCAGGCAGGCCTTGACTTGATGGTAGTTTAACTGTAAACACAGCTGGCCACTGTGGACAGCAGGGCTTCTGGTGCAAACCAAACATTCCCCAACAGCCCCAGAGCCCCACCTGCACCATCCCAGCTGTTACACAAGCTTTGTCATCTGAGACAGCTTTCAGAGCACCAGATGGCAAATCTAGACAAGCAGGCTACTGTGAATGCAGTCACCTCTCCCAGTTGACACCTCCAATGGCCAGTTGAGCTGGCCACATGAGCATGGGTTGCCCTTCTGGGCAGCTTTATTTTTTTATTATTTTTTTTCTAACCTACCCCCCACCCCATCCACCCGCCACTCCCCAGGCAGGGTAGGCCCCCAACCAGGGCTCCACCAAGTCCACCAAATCTTCCTGTGCTGGGCCTAGGCCCCTCCCCATGTGTTCAGAGACAGAGCGAATCCCTTCAAGTGGGATGGGCTTTATTTTATGATAGACATGTATGTTGTAGATACTTCCAATTTACATGAGACTGTATTGAAGTGAGAGCCAGTGGGATGTCACGCCTGGGCTACTGGGTTTGCTGGGGCTGTCTGCAATTGGGGTATCATGTTTTCTATAATTAGAAGGATTCCTAAAGCCTGTCTGTTTGTCCTCTGTCAGAGTGGACACCATGGTGGATCTGCTGGACATGGACCGTGTGAAGAGGTCGGGCTCCACGGAGCAGAGGCTGGTCTCCCTGGAGGAACAGGTATGTTGGAAGTCAGGCCTAGTGGAGCAATTTGTGATGTGGTGACACTGAGACCAAGAACTTTGGGGGAAAGATGCAGAAATGGAGGTCTGAGAGAGAGAGAGAGAGAGAGAGAGAGAGAGGGGGGTATGGAGAGAAATAGAGACAGACAGACAGACAGACCACAGGGAAAAGATGCAGAAATGGAGGTCTGAGAAAGAGAGAGGGGGAGAGGGAGAAAGAGAAGGGGGATGGAGAGACAGACAGAGGGAAAGGGACAGACGGAGACACTCACAAATGGGGGAGAGAATGAGACACAGGGAAAGGGAGAGAGAGACAGACAGACACACACTCATACACATATACACACATGGGGTGGGGAAGATAGAGATAGAGGGAAAGGGACAGACAGACACACACACACAATTATTCATTGGAAGGAGCACCTTTTTTATTCCCTAGAAAATTCTACCCAAGTGTAGAATTTTTCTGCTGGGCCTGCTGCAGTTTTGAATAGTGAGGCACCCCCACCAGCACACAGTTCTGTCAGTCCCAGATTATCCATGGCTCCCTTCTCTATTCAAGGCCACCCCCGAGCCACCATCTTGGGACTATGTCTTAACTTTGACTGAGGCCAGAGAACCAATGTCAAGTTCTCCTCTGAGGCTACATGGCCAAACAGGGTGCCTGGGTCACTTGGGGAGTGAGGCCAGTCCTCCAGGTCTTAAGCCACATGCAGTGTGGAGCACAGGTGTCCACTTGGTCTCTTTGTGCGTGACATTCAGGTAGCTCAGACGACCAGAGCTTTGCACTGGATCATGACAACCCTGAAGGACGGTGGCTTTGGCTCAGAGGCAGGTGTGCTGACCCTGGGTGAGTAGCTGGTCTCTTGGTGCTTGGTGGCTTTCTCTAGTAGTCTGTGTGGCTTTGAGTCTGAGGGATGGGTTGGCAGGAGAGGCAGTCATAGGGGTTTGGCTGTGTAGCTATCTTGATTCCTTACAGGGCCAGCTCTCACCTCTGCCTATGAGCTGAGCAGGTCTCTTCTGGCTTGAGCAGTTACTGGATTCCTGGGGGCAGCATGCTGTGCCTCCTTAACCTCCTTCTACACATCTTGCTGCGATGTTGGGGGGGGGCAGGGAACCGTTCTAGGCAACTGAGACTAGCATGTTAATCAAAACATAGAAAGCAAAGCCAGTAAGGAAATGGATATGAATGGTCTTCCTTAGGTGGGGCTGGCCCATAGGGAGCAAACTTGCCCTCATTCATTTCGACAGGCCCTGTGAGGTTAGCTCGCTGCTTGGACATCTAAGTGAGGCTTCAGTGGCAGGTGTCTGCTAGGCGATGCTGATTAGCTTTTTGTCCTTCCGTGGCCAAGAACCCTGGGATGGGAAGTGGGGTCTCGGGGCTGGCATTCAAATGTGTGTCTGTGTCTAGCATCCCAAAGGGCCTTCGATGAGCCAGATGCTGAACCGAGCAGCAAGAGGAAAGTAGAGGAGCCAGGAGACGGCTACCACGTGAACGCCCGGCACCTCCTGTACCCCGATGCTCTCATCATGCGCTTCCCTGTGCCCAACGAGAAGGTGCCCTGGGAGGTAAGTGTGAGCTAGCACACGAGGGGCTCGAGAGGTCCTCCCGTGGTCATAGCGGCCTCTGCCCGCTATGGCCTCTCTGCTCATCTGAGCATTTGGCAGATGAGGAAACTAAGCAAGGCCCGAGAGATTAAATCACATGACCATATAGCTAAAATGTGGGAGAGCCTTGTGAGGCAGCCGGCCTTAGAGAGTCACGGCCTGGGGCTGCTTCTGTGGCTCCTCACATGCTCCAGCTGTCCTGGCCTTTCATCCCATCCATGCCTTCTTGTTCTTGACTCATCGGTTCCCAGTGAGCGACTGCCACCCCCCTTTTGAGTGCCAGGCATAAAAGAGAGACCTATACACAGAGACAGGGATAATGGCACTGGGGCGTTTACCTGCTTGCCGTTCCAACCCCCAAGGTTTTCTCTAAGTTCTTCTGGAACATTCCAGGCTGAAGGCCCTTTCTCACTTTCTTTGCTGTATGGAATCCTTTTTACTTCTAGGGAGCCGTGTAGCCCCTGTCCCACCCCGGAAGGTTTTACACCATCCATTGCAAGGCTTGGGCTGGTCCCATTGTTCACCTGGAATTCTCCCTCAGCTCTACCAGGGCCGAGAGATGCCCATGCACACTTGGGGAGGTCATTTGGTCCTGGCTGGGTAGTGGCCTTGGTTGTAGCTGCTCTTGGGCCCATTTGTAGCACCCAGGCCTAGCTTGGCTGGGAGTAGGGCAAAATTCTGAGGAAGCCCACTTGTTTTGTTGTAGGCAGAGTTTCTAATCTACGACCCCCCATTTTACACAGCTGAGAAGAAGGATGTGGCCCTCACAGACCCTGTGGGAGAGTAAGTGGCCCTTTCTCTGGAGGGACCCCAGAATTCACCTGGGCCTAGCCCAGGCAGGCTCTGCCTCGTCTGCCCCAGGGACCCCAGGGACCCCAAGGACCCCAGGGAAGCTTTTCCTGTCCTGGGCACAGCTCATCCTGACAATGGACATGACTTGTGGCCAGAGGCCCCTCCGAAAGAAGAGGCCTGTGGTCACTGAGTTTGGGCCACGAGTGGAGGCAGATCCCCTGTACCTAGGTATCTCCACTCTGCCATAACCTTCTTATTGAAACATGTTCTCTTCCTTGCCCCCAGCATGGCAGAACCTCTGTCTAGGATCAGTTACAATGTTGTGGATGGACCAACGGACCGTTGCAGCTTCCATGGACGCTATGTGGTCCAGAATGGGCTCCCTTTGTGAGTATGCCCAGCCTCGGCTGGCAGTAATAAGCTTGCCTTCGGGGAGAATTCATCTCTGAGCAAGCTGGCACTTCTTTCCGGTTAAAGCAAATGAGAGAAAAGGAAACTCAACTTGTGTTGTTTCTCCAGAGTCTACTCAAGGTACAAAGCCTTTCTTTGTACCTACCTCTCCTGAGCAGGCTCCTGGATCCACCCTAGCTGGGTCCCCAGTGCATGAGTCTATTGGTACCTGGGGACTTTGACTCATGGTTGGTAAAGTGGAGACCATGGTCATGTGTGAGGAGAGCACTCTTTTGCCAGGGTGTGTGGCTGGTGGGCCCACGTTAGGGATAGTGATCCTGCTAGCATCTATTATGGGCTCTTTACATGAAAACAGCAAGAGACCCACAAAAACCACTGTGCTTCCAGATGTGAGATGTGGCCAGCAGGGGGAGCAGTGGAGCAGAGAATGTTGTGGGGCCTGAGGGAAGGGGGAGGTAGGCAGTTTATAGAGAGTGAACAGAGAGTGGGCTGTTGTCCTTGGAGCTAGAGGTTGGAACCGCAGGGGAGAGGCAGCATGAAACAGACCAGGGCGCTAGCCTGGGTATCCTCATGATGGATGGGGTGAAGAGTGCTTAGGACACGACAGGCCAGGAGGAGGAGCAATGCCTGGATGACAGGTGCGCCCCTGCTGTCACACAGCTGTGTAGAAACATGAGCAGGAGGGACCTGATAGGGCTCAGGGTGGTCCTGTGTGTTTGCACACATGTAGACCAGAAGGGTTGGGTCTCCCGCCCCCCATCACTCTCCAACTTACTTTTTGAGGCAGGGTCTCTCAATGAGACTGGAGCTCACCAGTTGGTTAGACTGGCTGGTCAGTGATCCTCCTGTCTGCCACCCCTGGGAGTGTGTTCCACCCCTGGGAGTGTGTTTTTCCCCCCCTTTTTTTTTTTTTTTTTTTTTTTTACATAAATTCCAAGGATTTGAACTTAGGTCCTCATGCTTGCATGGTCAACACTTTTCCTACTGAGTCATCTCCCAGCCCCAATACTTTTTATATAATAACATACTTATGTAGTTAGGACTCAAACTGTTTTTTTTTTTTTAAATTAGGACTCAAACTGGTTTTTTTTTAAATTATATTTCCTGGATATAGTTTCCATCTGTGAAATCATTGGCTATGTCTGTTTTATGTTGCTCATAATAGAATAGTGAAGACTAAGTAGGTTATATAAAAAAAAAAAGGTTGATTTTTGACTCATGGTTCTGGCTCAAGGTCAAGGGCTTGTATCCAATGATGCCTTCTTGCTGATGGAGACAGGAAGTGCAGGATGTCACACAGCTAGGATCGTCTGTGAGAGCAATTACTTCCTGAAGGCCCCACCTGATCCCAACGCCCCACATATCTAATGATAGGGTGGATCTGATGTGAGCTTGGGTGGGGGCAAGCCCAGATCACAAGGAAGCTTAACCTCTTGTCTTCTACACAGAGTGAGGTGTTTCTTACGAGCTACACGGCTGAAGTCAGAGGCGGGGCGGGGGGTGCTGGGTCAGTCACCTTTCCATCATTACCGAATGGCCTTGGTTCGGAAGCTTTTAGTACAAACTGGCCCTGGTGGCCCTGTGGGGAGGTAACCCCCTCATGGCAGGGTGTGTGGAGTGGAGAGTGCTGCTCTCTTCATAGCTGGGAAGCAAAAGAGAGGAAAAGGAAGCTGGGGCTCCTTTGCCACCAGGCCTCACCTCCAAAGGGCCTCACCTCCTAATAGCTCCATGCCGGTACCAGCTCATTGAGTGACATGGGGGACACCAGGACTTCAGCTGAGGGAAGAGGGTGGGTGTCAGGGGCATTAGGAGCTGCTGAAGGAAGTAGAGCCCATCCACAGGGTGAGCCTTGCCAGGTGGTAAATGTGAGAGGGTCATGGAGGAGCCTGGGCCTGTCCTCTGGAAGCACAGGCACATGTATCCCTCGGTTTTAAAGTCATGAGAACCACCAGTTCTTAGACCTGATTTGGAATGGGGTCCGGTGGAAAGAGAGGAGGGGAAGAGGGGTCCTGGCCTAATGAGAGGCACCTGTGCTGCCAGCAATTAGCCCTCTGTGCTTCCGGGTTACAGTAAGCCCATGTAGCCACAGCTTGGTCCCTTCAGCCTGGCTTCAAGTGTAGTCACCCATCATTTGTGACCACAAAAACCAGGCATAGGCTTCTGGGTGTTTTACCCCATTTGTGGAGGTGGAGGGTTGGCCATGGCGGTTGCACACTGACCACAGCCCTGGGCGCACCCTATGGGGATCTCAGAGGGGTCAGGGGGCAGAGGCTGGTACACTATCCCTGCTGTGCCCATTGTGACTTGGCCCCACCGGCCCATGTCCTTGCTCAGTTTCCCTTCCAGGGCTGTCCTAACCTCTCTATCAGGTGTAGTGGCTAAGTTAATCCTTTCTAACCCAGGAACCCCATGGGCCGTACAGGATTGCGTGGACGTGGGAGCCTCAGCTGGTTTGGACCCAACCACACACTACAGCCAGTGGTTACTCGGTGAGCCCCATGTCTGGCATCTGCACCTTGGTTCCGAAGATACGCCCACCCCATGTGCCCTGAGGGCCTATAGAATGGCCTTGATACTTTGTGGAAACCTGCGGAAAAACACAGATACATGCCCCGTGCCCCACCCTCTTTGAGAAAGCCCAGGCTACCCCCCTTTCCCTGAAGACTGCTTAAGTTTCTAAGGGCTCCCCCTTAGCTCTACTAGAGGGTTGGTAATCTGTGTAAAGCCTCTACTAAGGAGAAAAAGTTATAGAAATTACAAAAACCCACCCACGATCCCACTGAAATGTTAAGATTTAGTGTTTTCCTACCAAGGGATATGTACCTATCCATGGCACACTCTTACCCCACACCCACATGTCCCCCCCCCCAAGACGTCTCTGCCCCTGGGTCCTGCCTACCTTCTGGGCTGTGCTTGGGGTCCTAACCCAGGTTGCATGGAGCCCAACAAGGCACTGGGCTCTCAGGGTCCAAGAGCTGTGGCCTTATATAACTGTGTCAAAGGCTGGGGATGGACTCTTCCCCCTGTGGCTTCTGTCTCTATTCTGCTTGGGGTCTAGGTGCTTAGGGAGGAGAACGGGAGGTAGAGGGTGGGGTATGGGCTGTGGGGGAGGCAGCAGGGGCGTGACGCTGCCTCTAGGCCCAGCCAACTGCTCTGCACAAGGACACCTGTGGCCCTGCAGGTGTAAGTAGGTCCCTCATGCAGGTGGAAGAGGAACCAGGGTGGAGCCATCTGCCGCAAGAGTGTCAGGAAGATGCTGGAGGTGCTGGTGGTAAAGCTGCCTCACTCTGAGTACTGGGCCTTGCCAGGGGTAAGCCAGGCATTTTATCTGTCCATCCCACCCACTGCCTGAACACCAGCCACCCGCAGACAGTGGCAGGGACAAATCCCCACCTCCCATCGCCCTGGGTGAGCTGATACAGTGCAGCACCTCTTGAGAGCTCCCTCTCTGGCTTCCCCAAAGGCTCCCAGTCCGGCGTATCCCAGGCCAAGCTTCCCTGGGCAGCAGAGCTCAGTACTGGGACAACTTAGTACTGGCTTAGACATGGATTGCCTCTTTACCCTCCAGACTCTGAGTTGAGCCCTAAAGGCAGAAGGGTGATGTCTAAGGGCTAACGGTGGGGTATTGCCCAGGCCTTTGCTATCTGGCTGTAGGATTGAAGATGAGAGGGTACTGCAGAGGCTCTTTGGTAATGACAGAATTGGGGTACAGAGGCCCAGACCACTCATGCCTGTGTGATTCCCTATCCCCCCCCAGATCAGTTTGTCCTGCTCCCCACACCTCCAGGCCCAGCTTCAAGTAGGGGTCAGAGAGCCTTGTCCTGCCTGGCCCTGGCCCACAGCATCTACAATACGGCCCATCTGGCTATGCCCCTCCTCTGTCCCTATTCCCTGGGTTTGTGGTTTTCCTCAACTGCTGTCCTGCTCTTAAGACTTCTATCCCCACGGCTCAGTGGCTGCCTTGGTGGGAGCACATTTTCCTGTAGGCTTTCTGGGTGCTGAGTGCCTAGCAGCAGGGACCAGGCAGAGGGGACTAAAGACAAGCAAACAATTAGAGTGTAGCACCTATGCCTCTCTGGTGCCAGGATTGTGGGAAGGCTCAGTTGCCTTCATGGAGTCACAGTGGCTGTTCCTGCTCCATGTTAGTCCCACACTCCTGCTCAGGCTGTGGACTGCTGACGCGGATGGTGGGTCTGGGTAGTGTCACACAATCAGAGAGCTGACTCTAGACAGACACTGCCGCCTTCAGCTTCCCAGGGGGCTGGCTGGCTGCCTACACTGGGCAGGTGGCCAGAGGAGATGGGTTCCTGGGTTGCCTGGGATCCAGCTTGCATGCCTTGCTGACTGGCCTTCACCTCTCTGCTCAGGGATCTCGGGAGCCAGGGCAGACGCTACCACGGAAGCTGAAACTGGTCCTCCGAGACGAGTTCTGGAAGCCCTTCGAGACCTTGCTGGAGCAAGGAACAGAGGTAGGGCCCACGCCCTGTGCATTAAATCCCCGTGTGAAGTCCCTGCACTCTAAGCAATGCCATCCTGGAACTTTGGGCAGGGCTGATGCTTGCTCCTCTATAGGATCTCCACCCTCCCTAGGCAGACTCTGTGCACACAGATACGTGCGTTCCTGATCAACACGGGCCATGAGCAGTCTATGACCTGCCTTTTCTCAGCAGCCAAGATGCCGTATTTAAGTCCAGATTTACAGATTCATTTCCCATTTGTCAGGACTAACATATTCTTGTGTGTGCCATGAGCACTCTCAACAGCCCTATGGGGGTGGCCCAGCTCTTCTGTGTCTTAGAAACAAGAGTGATGGCTGGTGACACCTGCCTTTTCCTAGAATCCCAACAACTTTGGATGGTAACATTGGCACAGTGCCTCACTGGATACCACTGCCTTCACTCTTACAATTTAAAACCTAAGTTCTTACCAGAGTAAAATGCATATAGCATGAATCTGGAGTGACTCCATGGATAAACATGAGGGCAGGAATGTCTGCACCTCACCCTCTTTGAGAAAGCCCAGGCTATCCCCCTAACCCTGGAGGTGGTTTAAGTATCCTGGGATCTTTCCTTAGTCCCACCAGGGGGCTGACAGAGACTTAGTCCAGAATATGCAATTTCCTGACATTTGATAAACTAAAACTCTGTGGCCACCATCCTTATCTAGTCCCCGAATGTCTCATCACCCCAAAAGAAGTGCCTATGCCCTAGGTTGGCCATCTGCTTTTATCTCTAGGATTGCTGTTCTGAACTCCCATTTTTTGAGTAGGGTGTGGAGCAGTGTCTAGGTTCTCCCTGTACAGAACCCTTGAGGATGAGGCCTCTAGAGTCCCAGTGCAAGCATCTGGGTCCTGTGCCTGACTTGTGCTAGAGGCCAGTTGTGGGGTCAGGGGGCTGAACAGGATAGCCAGCCATATGCAGACCCTGCCCCAAGAGGCCCTCCCTGTGGATCTGAGCTCTTCCACAGTGGGCTGGGGAGCCAGGGCCCCATAATTGAACCAGATAGCTCACCCCTGTCCTGGCCTCCAGGTGTACAAAGGGTATGTGGATGACCCAAGGAACACAGACAATGCCTGGATTGAGACGGTGGTCGTCAGCATCCATTTCCAGGGCCAGAATGATGTGGAGCTGAAGAGGTTGGAAGAGGTATGAGGACGAGCCTCCACATGGTGGAACGCTCTAGACACATCTCGGCCCTCTCAGTGGTGGTCTGCCTGGGGTCTTGACAGAGCTGCCCCATGGGTGGGGAGGCTGAGGCAAGTGCTCACCCAGGAGGGACCAAAGGGGCACCAGGGCTGGAGGTCAGGGAGCCACAGAAGGGGCCCATACTCAGATGGTTTGGTGAGGAGATACATTAGTTACATTGCTGTGACCAAATGCCTGAGAGAAAGCAACATTAGGATGTGTCTATCATGGCTGGAAGGTCATGGCAGCAGGAGCATGAAGCAACTACAGTCAGGAGGAAGAATGTGGGTGCTCAGCTCAACTCCCCTTCTTATGTACCCCAGGGCCTCATCTCAGGGAATGGTACCACCCAGTTACCGAGAGGATCTTCCCTCCTTAGTTAATCCAATTTAGACATCCTCTCATGGACTTGCCTGGGGATTTGTCTCCAAGGTGATACTAGAACCTGTCAGGTTGACCTCAATATTAACCACCACAAGAGGACTTGAGGACCATGTCCAGAGAGAAGCTGGCATGGTCTTCTCCACTCCCTGTGCCCTCTTTACGAGACATTTGTGCCCTGGCACTGAGAGCAGTTCCTTCCGACTGCTGATTGAAAACCACGGTGGGCAAGGTGATTTCACTCTGTGAAATCAGGTTGTCCTGGCAGGATAGAGGCCTCTGAGTAAGGTCACATTCACTTTGGTCTATGGGTCCCAACCTGGCCAGCTTAGGCACCCAGAGCAGGTGACCTTGTGTTGCACAGTGAGCTGGCCATGGGCGGGAGGCAATATTGTATGCTGTGAGATCCCTGTAGCCCGAGGATTCAGGCTGCTGGGTGACCATAGGCTGTTTGTTCTTGCAGAACCTGCACACCCACGGTGACCTACAGATGTCTACTGAATGGCAGGTGGTGGATAGGCGCATCCCCCTGTATTCAAACCACAAGACTATCCTCCAAAAGGTGGCCTTGCTGTTTGGAGCTCACTTCTGACTGTGGGTTCTGGTGGAATCTCCAGGGGTATGAGTGACCAATGCCCCCCAATACTTGGACTGCTTTATCTTGGTCTGGCTGGCAGGTTGGGGTGCTGGGGTGGGTGACCACAGGGATCTTAACAAGGCCCCAGAGGTGCTGTCCCGAAAGCCATCTCTGCTACGACAGGAGGATACACAACATGAGGACAGAAGTGTGTTCAGTGGCTCCGGGTGCCTATGTCCTCAGGTGCCATACCTTGACTTGGGCTCTATGGGGCCTTGTCCAGCAAGATGCTGCCACTACCCATAAACCTCTGGGGCAGATACTATGCCCTGGAGGGACCTCTGTCTTCATGGTGGGAGCCTTCTGTCGTAGACAGAAGGTAGGTAGAGGCTGGGCCTCCTTCAGGAGAAGACAGGGTCCTCATGACTCCTGGCCAGTGCTGGGTCACATGCAGGCACTGGGGAAGACAGTGAGGGCTTTGAGTTGGATGACTGTCATTTTTAGACCTTGGAAGCACTCTTTCGAAAGTGCTCAAGCTGGCATACCCTAGCTTCAGCTGACCTGCTGGTTACAGAAAGTACTAGATGATGACAACGCATCATTGAGAATGATAAGCTTTCTCTGACAGGGTGGCCTATGACTCAGGGATTTGTACTGGCTACAAGATTAATTAACTCTGCAGCTTGGCTTAGGGGCGGGCAATACTGGGGCTTGATGGGATGGGACAATAAAGGACTGGTATGTGTTGTTTTTCTTAATTGTTGCTGCCTTTTACGCCACAGCTATCCTATTCAGCAACTGCCACTCCACCACTGCCCATAGTGGCTAGGCCGCAAGAGCCAGAACCTGAGGGAATTCTGTTCCCTAGGCACCAATTCTTTCAAAGCTACTAAGGAAACTTACTTAAATACTTGACCCACTAAAGAACTCAAGATTCAAAGGAAGCTCCTGCTTCCCAGAGAGTCTGACTTGCAAGCAGCTCACCTCTTCACGTCTCCCAAGAAGTTCTTGTGCTTTTTCCGGTTCCTCTCTACAACTTCCTGTTCTACACCTTAAAATATTCTACATTATTTTGTAACAGACTATACACAGAACAATTTTTGAGTAGAGTACATTGACAATGTAATGAATTCCAGTTCATTTGCATCTGGCAAATTAAAATACCCCATTATCTATCCTATCTTATTGAATCTAAAGTTTTATGCCTAATTTACTCGATAATGTAACTAAGGAAAACTACAATTATAATTATCTAGTTATCAGATCCATCAAAGACACCAGAAGTAAGCAAAAAGTGCATTGCAAATGACTTTCAAAAACTCTAAAACTGACAGAGACGGCCTGGTCACCCAAAATTCCTTCACAATGTTGGGGCATCAAAGACTGTCACACCTATACTGCCAGTTTGTCAGTCACTTTCCTCTGTGTTCTGCAGAATGTCTGCACAGCACATTGTCAACAGTTAAAGGCAAGAAGAATTTCTTTGCCCAGTGGCTAGCCTTGCCACAATGAAAGCAAACTCTGTAAAGAGTCTCTTCAATGCCCACCATCTTTTCTGAAGTAAATCAGTGTTGCTAGGAACAGATGTATCAAATTGTCATAAAAATCTTTAACAAAACATTTTAAATGTTACATTTGAAGACCATCTATCTAAAATCTATTTAACCTAGAAAACATACCTAACATATCCACAAAAACTTATGACTGTGAATCTATGTTCTTGATGGTTCTATATAGTTTATAATAATAGCTTTCAAAAACAAGAACTTTATCTTACATTTTTAAATGAACTACATAGGAACAATACCTTAAAAAAGGAGAAACATATACACAATATGTGGCAATAAAACACCCTTAAATTTGTATCAACCTACAAAACCCTTTAGACAAGAGTAGAAACATATACAATGTACCAAAAATAACTTTAAATTTTATCAATATACAACAATACTTCAAAAATATATATAGTGTATTGTAACAAAAATGACCTTAAATTTGCATCAGTCCTTACAGATACAAAATATTTGAGGTCAGTAGTTGTCCCTTTGTAATAGATTCAATAATCTACCCTATCATCCTGTCATTCCTATATTGCCCTAATAAGAGAAGATTTGTAATCTGTAAGGTTAAGATATCTTTTATTGGATAAACACCAACCAAACGCAAGCCAGAGCATGTTAGGGGCAGCAAGGCAGGGAAGCCAAAGAGCGAGCTCCCATCTGTCTTGCTGCCCCTTAAAACCCTATCACGTGTCATCCTGACCTCACCTTGACCACGCCCTGACAGGCATGGTCAGGTACACCTGTAGCCAGCTTCTAGCAGGCATGGCTTACACTGTCCCCTATATTCCCTGTCTATTCTTTTTCCTTTTTTTTTCTAAGAGATCCTTGAATGTAATATTTGCATAACATCCTCCCTTGCCAGTACCAAAAACAATAAATAGCCCCCATAAATGATGGCATGCATCCATAACCCACGAAATGACCAAATTCCATTCTCCCTACCTCTCAGGAATGTGGGCATCATCTCCAAAATTACTTCCCATTGTTTGGGGGCACTGATACCCTGAAGAAACTGAAATGTTGGCCAATGGCATTATTGTGATCCAGGTAGAATCGTTGTGGGGCTCCATCATCTTTTTAGAGGTCAGAGATTGCTGTTAGGAAAACTTATTATTCACTGTGGAATACTTAAACATTAATGTCAAAATGAAAAGTTTCAATTTTAAGATAGTAAAATAAATGTGAGGGGAAGGAATTTATGATAACAGTAGTTCCTAGATTTTGGTTTTCTTCTGTCCCGTACCAGTTGGCTCTTCTGATATGAGGCAGAGACACTGAATTTTCTTTTAACAATATGCCTGGGTTTAGAGAAGGAGAGAACCACACTCCAAAGACAGTTTTGGTTTATAATTGGGACAACAAATATTTCAAAAGATTAAGAGATTGTGCCCTGTAGAAAATAATTATACCATCATGCCAAATTGTTTCTTTCTGGGCATTTCTCCCTTCTTTAGATGTCAATCTGTTTAAAAGTCCTTGATATCTTCAAGATGGACATTTTTATTGTCTTATAAAGACAAAAACAAAATCATGCCCTGACCCTAATTTGATGAGTTTTTCCTTTTGACACATTAAATCACCACCTCTATTGGGCGATGGTGGCACACACCTTTAATCCCAGCACTCACAGGCAGAGGCAGGCCAAGTTCTTCAAGTTCGAGGCCAGCCTGGTCTTCAAAACTACACAGAGAAACTCTGTCTTGAAAACAACCCCTCACCCCAAAAATCACCTCTGTTGATTTCACTTCTCCTGATCAAGAGGTCTCTCATGTTCTAATCAATTTTTTTTTTATTAATTTTGATGGTTTCCATACCTTTCCTTCTGTGGAAACAAAAGTAAAACCCCTTCCCCAACGTAGCACAAACCCTGGTTTCCATTCCGAGGTCAACACGTCTTTAAAGTACACAGGCTGATTTAATTCAATATTTTTCTACAGTCCAGTGTCTCTCTGCAGCTGTCATTCCTTTCTCATTAGCATTTAGAAAATTCAAAGTTAATAAGGCATTATGCAGTCTATCTCTGGGGATCTTTATTACTCCCTCCTGTTTATTAAGCATTTCTTTTAAAGTTCAATTAGCCCTTTCTATAACTGCTTCTCCTGTAGGGTTGTGTAGCATACCTATGCTTTATGTCATAATATTGCAAAAAAACTGTTTCATGTTAGTAGACACATATGCTGGAGCATTGTCAGTCTTAATTTATACAGGTATTCCCATAATGGCCATAGCTTCTAATAGATGTGTAATTACAGAATCAGCCTTTTTAGAACTCAAAGCAGTTGCCTATTGAAATCATGAATATGTACCTATGTTATAGTGTATTAATTTGAATTTCCAAATTCTGCAAAATGAAACACATCCATTTGCTAAATTTCATTTTTTGACTACCCTTTAGGTTACTTCCTGTAGGTAGTGAAGTTTGATCATACAAGGAACAAGTAGGACATTTTCTTATAAATTACTTGGCTTGTTGTCAAGTGATGGAAAAATTCTTTTTTTAAAGCCTTGCTATTGATTTGCTGTTTTCTATGAAAACACCACCAGCACATTTCCTATTGATAACTGATCAATTTCATCCTTACCTTGTAGTAGAACCTGACGGGATCTGATATGTGTTAGATATATGGGATGATTCCAATTCCTGATTATTTCCTGTAACTGTGTAAATAATGAAGTTAATTCTGACTTATCAGAAATAAGCTCAGCAGTTTCAATATATAAGACAACTCTTTCTGCATATTCAGAGCCAGTAACTATATAAAGAGGTTCTGGAAAATCTAATAGGACCATGGGAATGGCATACAACTCTGATTTCCGAACTGAATCATAAGGGCTTTGAACCACTTATTTTTCCTGACTTATAACCTGCCTTTCCTGATTTATTTGCATCAATATAAAATGTAGGGGCTCCAGAAGTTGGGGTGCCTTTTACTATATGAGGTAAAATCCAGTCAGTCTGTTTTATAAACTGACATCTCTTGCTTTTTGGATATTTGTTACTTATCTCTCCCATAAAATTACTGCAAGCTCTTTGCCGCTGTCCATTTTCTGCCTATAATCAAGCAATTTCAGCATTAGTAAAAAGTACTACAATGCCTGCTGGGTCTATTCCTGTCAATTGACCAAGTCTTAATTTTCCTTTTAAAATCAAACCTTCTCCACATGTGTCTTTAATTTTTTACTTTGCTTGTGTGGTAAAAATATCCACTCCAAGATAATATCTTTCCTCTGCATTAAAATCCCTGAAGGGGAATGCATAGAAGGTAAAATAACCAAAATGCAATCAAGCTTTGGATCCAATCGATCCACATGAAGACCCTGTGATTTCTTTTCCACCATAGCCAATTGTTTCTTTGCTTCAGCTGATAATTCTCTTGGACAATTTGAGTCCTTGCCACCTTCCAAGGTTTGAAACAAATTACTCAGTTCTTGAGTTGTTACTCCAATAGTGGGCTGTAGATGGGAAATGTCTACCAGCAATTTTTGAAAATCATTAAGAGTCCTCAATTGATCTCTCCCGATTTGTACCTTTTGTGGTTGAATTTTTTTGTAAGACTATATTATATCCTAAGTAATTAGCAGAACCTCCTCTTTGTATTTTTTCAGAAGCAATTTGTAATCCCAGCAAGACAAAATTTTCTTTACTTCTCAAACATCCTTTCTAAAGTATCTACACACTTTAAGATATCATCCATATAATGGTAAATTATAGATTGAGGAAACTGTACAAAAATTATTTCTAATAGCTGTGGTATAAAATATTGGCACAGGGTGGGGTTGTTCAACATTTCTTGGGGGAAAACCTCCCATTGATACCTCTTAACAGAATTACTGTAAGTAGTACTGTAAGTAAGTACTGTAAGCAACGTGCAGGCAAAATTTTCTCTATCTTGTTTTAATGGTATAGTAAAAAAGCAGTCTTTTAAACCAATCACTATAATAGGGAATCCCTTAGGTAATAAGGAAGACAAAAGCAATTCCAGGCTGTAAAAGAGCCCATTGGCTGAATCACCTTATTTATGACTCTTGGATGTGTTACCATCCTCCATTTCCCAGATTTCTTTTTAATAACAAATATAGGAGAATTCCAAGGACTGGTTGATTCTTCAATATGTTGAGCATTTAACTGCTCCTTTTCTAGCTGTTCTAGGACCTGTAATTTTTCCAATGCCAAAGACAGGTTTGTCAGTC